TCACATCAACAAAATAATAACAGAAGCAATATAACAAAATAAAAAACCAATAATATTAAGCAATATAAAACAAAACGTCACGGCCAATAACCAATGGTAAGATTCAGTGTCTCGTTGTGGGTGGGCAGACTGATGCCACAACCATAGTGGTAAGAGCTAGTGAGTAAAGTGCATATATCATATAGCAGCATTAAGGATAGAAAATTTTATCAGTGAAGGTTGAAATATAACAATGTTAAAGTGCTTAAGGACAATTTTTTGTGTGTGTCCTGACTAGGACTCGCGATCCAAGGAATTGCCTAGTCGAAGGCACAGTGGAACATCCAGGTGCTTAAGTCCTTGCAGAAAGTGGACAAGAAGGGTGCTAGCCGAATCTCCCTGGGGAGAGAATTCCAGAGCTGGGGGGCCACGACTGAGAAGGTCCTTTTCCTCGTCCCCACCAACCACACCTGAGGCAGAGATGGAAGCAAGAGAAGAGCTTCTCCATAAGATCTTAAAGATTGTGTGGGTTGTAGGGGAAGATGCGATCACAAAGATAGGCAGGTCTGAACCGTTTAGAGCAGTGGTTCTCAACCTGTGGGTCCCCAGATGTTTTGGCCTTCAACTCCCAGAAATCCTAACAGTTGGTAAACTAGCTGGGATTTCTGGAAGTTGTAGGCCAAAACACTTGGGGACCCACAGGTTGAGAACCACTGGTTTAGAGCTTTATAGATGATGACCTGCACCTTGAATTGGGACCGGAAACTTATCGGCAGCCAGTGGAGCTGTTTAAACAGGGGGGTTGACCACTCCCTGTAATTTGCTCCAGTTAACAATCTGCATCAAGTCAGAGCACACTGACAATTGATCTGGACCACATTTGGCACACAGAATCCCCATGACCTAAGAAAAATACTGGAAAGGTTTGGGGGAAATTCATCTTGACTTATAGCCATTGTAGGTACTGGGATTTATAGTTCACCAGCAATCAAAGAGCACTCTGGACCACACCAATGATGGCCTGGACCTCACTTGGGACACAGAACCCCCATGACCAACAAAAAATACAGGAAAGCTTTGGGGGAAATTTATCTTGATTTCTAGGAATAATAGTTCACCTACATCCAGAGAGCACTGTGAACGCAAACAATGATGGATCTGCACCAAATTTGGCATGCATACCCAATATGCCAAAATTTAAATACTGATGGATTTTGGGGAGAATTGGCCTTGACATTTGATAGCTGTAGGTACTGGGATACATAGTTCAGATGCAATTAAAGAGCACTCTGCACCCCACCGATGATAGACCTGGATCTAACTTGGCACACAGTGACCTATGACCAACTGAAAGTACTGGAGGGATTTGATGGGACTGACCCACCATGGTGGGAGTTGTAATTCATCCTGCAGCCAGAAAGCACACTGAACCCCACTGATGATGCATCTAGAGTAATCTCTCAACATGACAATCTTTAAGTATTGATGGAATTTCAGGGGGTTAACCTGGCATGAAGAGAGTTTTAGTACACCCAGAACCTTATGCAGTTTGTAAAATAAAAAAGTTACCTCTTCTGATTACCTGGGCAACGCTGGGTACCCAAGCTAGTTAATATTAATAATACATAATAATAGAAGTTGTAGGAGGGGTGGGGGTGTCTGCACTGTTGAATGAATGCACTTGGACACTGATAGCACTGCCATACTTCAAGCAAATAATAATAATAATAATAATAATAATAACAACAACAACAACAACAACAACAACAACAGAACAACAACAACAACAGATTGTATTTGAAACCTGCCTCTCCTAATGGCTAGAGGCAGGCTATGACAGTCAATGTCTTATTTCCTCCAATGCGATTGCTGCTGAAAGACGGAAATGACTTGGGAGGTGTTCTTTCTCAGCATCTCTAGGTCCTCCCATCATTCCAGTTTTTCACTTTCAGGGGATTCCTGTGTCCCGGACCCCAGGGAACGCAGAGGGCTGGGTGTAATTCTAAACTGCCAAAGCCCTAAAAACTACGAATGCCTCTGAGTAATTGCTTAGGGAGCTGGAGAGGTTTTGCTTAGAGGAGAGAAAATGAAGATCTCACATGTTTAGCCCCTGCGCTATGTCACCACTGGTCACTTAACCTGGCCTTGCTTTCTTGAAATTAAACCCTGTGGCAACAGGCACTGCTCCATGTATATTTAAATCGGTACAATTGGTGAGGAAGCCAGTCCCCACTCCTAGATGTATCAGGTGCATCCCATTTCTGATCAATGATATTACAGTGGAATTCTCTGTAGTAATTGTTTGCAGTTTCCCAGTGGAGTGGGATTAGTGGGCAGGTGACAATGACGAACAGAGATTCCCGCAAGCCCCTTTCACGCCGTCCTCCTCCTTGTGCAGCAGTATAACACTGTGCATTCAAGCACATGCATGAACCATATAAAATGCAAGGAAATGGATTTAACAGTTGCTGAAGCCACCGGTCTGAATGGAACAGAATGGGGAATTGCAATGCATGCTGCCTTGAGATAATGATTTTCGCAGTCACCTTTCCATATTCATTGGGGCTAGAGGGACAGGACACAAATGTGGAAAACCCCTTTAAAAAGAAGCTTTTTAAAGAAGCCATGACCAACAGAAAACACTAGAAGGGTTTGATGAGCATTGACCTTGAGTTTGGGAGTTGTAGTTCACCTACATCTAGAGACTACCATGGACTCAAACAATGATGGACCTGGACCACACTTGGCACAAATATTCCATATGCCCAAGTATGAACACAGATGGAGTTTGGGGGAAATAGACCTTGACATTTGGGAGTTGTAGTTACTGGGATTTATAGTTCACCTACAATCAAAGAGTGTTCTGAACCCCACCAACGACAGAATTGGGCCAAACTTCCCACACAGAACCCCCATGACCAACAGAAAATACTCAAGGCCATCCAGTCCAACTCCCTTCACCAGGGCAAGAAAACGTAATCAAAGCCCTCCTGACAAAGAGCCATCCAGCCATAGATATAGATAAATATGATTCACACACACACACACAAGTATAATAGATTTGAAAGGGACCCCTGAAGAAGGACAATTATATGTTCCATGTTCCAGAGTAGGCAAGCCAGACACTCTCCACATCAACAATGACAAAGAAACAGCAAGAAAGAAGCATAAAGAAATTACATATATTAGAAATCAACACTTTCTCATTACTTTACTTTCCATATCAACAGACTGGGCCACAGCAACGCGTGGCAGGGGACAGCTGGTCTATATAAATAAAAATGTAATGTTTGTTTGTGGGATTAACAGAACTCAAAAACCACTGGACGAATTGACACCAAATTTGGACACGACACCTAACAACCCAATGCATGTCCTTCACTAAAAAAAATTGATTTTGTCATTTGGGAGTTGTAGTTGCTGGGATTTATAGTTCACCTACAATCAAAGAGCATTCTGAACCCCACCAACAATACAATTGAACCAAATTTGGCACACAATTCTCCTATGACCAACAGAAAATACTGGAAGGATTTGGTGGGCAGTGTCCTTTGGTTTTGGAGTTGTAGTTCACCTACATCCAGAGATCAATGTGGACTCAAACAATGATGGATCTGCACCAAACTCTACACGAATACTCAATATGCCCAAATGTGAACACTGGTGGAGTTTGGGGGAAATAGAATCTTGACATTTGGGAGTTGTAGTTGCTGGGATTTGTAGTTCACCTACAATCAAAGAGCATTCTGAACCCCACCAACGATAGAATTGGGCCAAACCTCTCACACAGAACCCCCATGTGGGCCACAGCAACGCATGGCAGGGGATGGCTAGTGTTTAATATGTTTTATGTTATGTTTTTATGTATAGTGTTTTAATTGATTTAAATCATATTTATATGTTATTGATTTTAGCTAATGTTATGTATTGCTTTTGTATGTTTATTGCTGCATTGAATTTTGCCATGTACACCACTCTGAGTCCCCCTTGGGGTGAGAGAGAGCAGTATTAATATTAATTAATAAATAATAAATTGATCATAGAATACTAGAGTTGGAAGAGACCCCATTCTGTCATGCAGGAAAACCACAACCAAGGGACTCCCAACAGCCTCTGTTTAAAAGCCTCCAAAGGAGGAGCTTCCACTGGACTTTGAGGCAGTGAGTTCCACTGTTGGAACAACTCTAGAAGTTCTTCCTAATGTTCAAGTGGAATCTCCTTTCCTGTTGAACCCATGGCTCCATTGAGCTCTAGTCTCCAGAGCAGCAGAAAACAAGCCTGGCTCTAGTTTCTGATACAGAACATATGCCATCCAGTAGTCACCTTCTGCTCGCCTACAGAAAACCATATTTAATAATCTAGAGCTGATGTGGTCTATCCGAGGGAACGGGGCTGGTCAGCAACAGGGAAGGAGTGGCAGGCAGTGTGAAAGGAACAGAAATAAAATAAAATAGAATAGAGGAAGAAGGAGGCTCACAGACCAGATTTTCATCCTCGCAGCCCACTGGTGGTCCGAGGTCCACAGGTTAAGAACTACTGATCTAGACACTATATTCCTTTTGATCAATGTTATTTTGATCAATGTTATTCTTGAGAATAATAATGACCTCTGGAGGTGAAGCCACATCTCTTAACTATGGGTTATCCATTGAAACATCCTGCTAAACCATAGTTAACCCAAGTCACTCCTCCTGCAATGATTTCTTCATCTTACTTGCCAATGCTCCCACTCTATGCTTTGTCAGTTCAAGCATTACATCAAATTGGTGTCTTTGTGGTCCTCACTCTTGCGAAGGATGAGATATAAAGCCAGGGCAGCCATGTAGATCCACAAATTTTACTAAGCAATGGGAATCAGGCTACTTATTTACTACATGTCTTCTTGAACCACCTCAAAAAACCTCACACTGGTGTTGATCCAAAGGAGAAGTATCAGTTGGCCAGGCTTTTGACTGGATCCAACAAGGTGAGGAAAGACAAAGACGCCCAAATGGCGATGAAGTTTGGTTCTAAAATCCTACCTTTGCATTTTTCTTAGGCCAGGACACCACTGGGACTCCAGAAATTGCAAGATGTGGATCGTCGTCTGCATGCTCCTTCAGGATATTCTGTTTCAAAAGGAAAACAGGCTGGTGAGGCAGAAGAAAACCTAGCCCAAGGTAACTTGCTAGAGGAGAGGGATGATCTAAGCTGGAGCCTCAAAGGTTAGCGGTTCCTTCAGCTTTCTGATGTAGAAAGAAGGGTGTGAACCCACAATTATTAAGCAGGCCTTATCATACCACTACCCCCACATTTTGCAACTAAAAGGAGGTCACCTGGGAAGCTTTCATCAATGATAAAAAGAATGTCTGTTTAAGACTTACAACTCCAGTGGAAGTTGACCTAGAGCAGTGTTTCTCCACCTTCCTAATGCCACAACCCCTTAATACAGTTCCTTATGTTGTGGTGACCCCCAACCATAATATTATTTTCATTGATACTTTATAATTGTAATTTTGCTACTGATATAAATTGTAAAGTAAATATCTGATATGCAGGATGCATTTTTATTCACTGGACCAGATTTGGCACAAATACCCGATAGTCCCAAATTTGAATACTGGTGGGGTTGGGGGGAAATTGATTTGGCAATTGTAGTTGCTGGGATTTATAGTTAACCTACAATCAAAGAGCATTCTGAACTCCACCAATGATGGAATTAAACCAAACTTGGCACACAAACCTCCCATGAGCAACAGAAAATACTGGAAAGGTTTGGTGGGCATTGACCTTGAGTTTTGGAATTGTAGTTCACCTACATCCAGAGAGCATTATGGACTCAAACAATGATGGATCTGGACCAAACTTGGCACAAATACTCAATATGCCCAAATGTGAGCACTGGTTGAGGTTGTGGGAAATAGACCTTGATATTTGGGAGTTGAAGTTGATTGGATTTATAGTCCACCTACAATAAAATAGCCCCTTGAACCCCACTGATGATTGGGCCAAACTTCCCACACAGAACCCCCTTGCCTTGAAGGGATTCACTGGCGCAAGCCTCTCTCCAGCTTTGTGCACTCTCCCTCGCCCGCACACCACACTACCATGCACTGAGCATGCCTGCTCTCCCCTCCCTGCTTGGAGTCTTGGAAACAGCCCTCCCCTTGGCTGAGGGGCTGGCCAATCACAGCAGAGGAGGGCCTTTGGTGGGAGGATTTGCCATCTGTTTCCAAAAAGGAAGAGAAGGACAGGTGGAGAGATCTTCAGCCTTCTCTGCCAAAGGGATTCCTAAGAACATCAGGAATATATGTTTTCTGATGGTCTTTGGAGACCCCTCTGAAACCCCCTTGCAACTTCCCTCAAGGGTCCCAACCCCCAGGTTGAGAAATGCTGACCTAGAGATTCCTAGCGAGAACACCTCTCTAAGAATGTTTATGTGTTCCTTTGCAATACTGTGGTCAATGTCTGACACAATTTGATCCTAAAGTTCTGCAGGAGGAGCTAGAGATTGCTAGAAAGAAACTGTCTTGGGAAAAAAAACAAAAAAACCCCTGCATTATAATAAGAAGTCACTTTGCAAGCAAGTATGACATTGAGGAGTCCAGAAACCAAGCCCAAGACAAACTCAGTATTAACGTGCTTGGTGTGGAGTGTGACCCCTCTCCCTACCTTCATATCTTCCAAAAGAGCCTGAGGATCCTCTATGCCTTCGGGAACGCATTTCTTATTCTCTGGAAGGGATTCCAGTTTTTCAACGAGGGCTTTCAAGCCCTTCAGTTCAAACTCTGTCAAGTGAGTCCATTTGGCTGAAACCTCGGCTGCGGGGGAGCCGGTGGGCGTTTTGGGATAATCGGCTGGCGTGGACTTTACGCTTTCATCCGAAGCATTAGACAAAGTCCTTTTGAGGCACCGGCCACCAGCTGTTGCTTTCGGCTTCTTCCCAGGAATTTCTCTCCCTTCTGAATGCGTGCTGTTTGGAGAAGACGCTCCATCCACAGAGGCCTTGGGGTTTTTTTCTGGGCTCTCCTCCTTCTCCTGGGTGTGAATATCACACAATTCGTCATCCATGTCTGCACAGGAATCTGAGGAGAAGCTATCTAAGCTGTGTTTCCTTGTTGTATCTAGGAAAGAAGAAAGGGAAATGTGAAGAAAATTCTGAAAGTAGAGCTAGAGAACACATGCCAAGGACGCTGGTCATTGTCATTCCAAACACCATAGCCAAGGAAAGCCAACCAGTAACCTAACCATGTTACTTCTTTAGAGTATGACCTCCACTGGGGTTTTTGTGAGTTATCATTCAAAAAGCAACCCAACCAGGTCTTGGTTCTGGGGCTCCCTTCCTTCTTGCTGATCCTATGGGTTCTACTTCCCATATAAATAACAGCATTTTGGGTCCAGAATTCTTTCCACCTTCAGTAGGTTCAAAGAAGATTTCTGCTCTTTTATATGCAGATGACATGGTGTTAGTCTCAGTCTCACTGTCAGCTGGACACCATCCTATCAGAGATACCTAAGGAGGACAAAATCATCCTCCTGGGGGATTTTAATGCAAGAGTCGGGCAAGACTTTGACCTGTGGCCAGGGACCATAGGAAAAGACGGGATTGGAAACAGCAACTCGAATGGCATCCTGCTTCTCACCAAATGTGCGGAACACAACCTTGTCATCACCAACATGCTCTTCCACCAGAAAAACAAGTTCAAAACATCATGGAAGCACCCCAGGTCAAAGCATTGGCACCTCTTAGACTACGTAATCACACGTGCCAGAGACCGCCGTGACGTGCTTCTCACAAGAGCCATGACAGGTGCTGATGACTGCTGGACAGACCACAGGCTACTCCGATCCATGATGGCTATCAAGGTCGCCCCCAAGCGCAGGCTCCAAGGAAGAAAGACAAGGCGCAAATGAACACCCAAGCCCTTCAGGAGCCCTCCAAACAAGCCCTTCTCCAAAGAGCACTCAAGGACCATCTACCCATAGAACATCCTGAAAATGTTGAGGAACATTAGAACAAACTGAAGACCTCCATCATCACAGCCTGTGAAGAAACTATTGGATACCAAACCAAGAAACATCAAGATTGGTTTGACGAAAATGACAACGCGATCCAACAACTAATTTACAAGAAAATGAAAGCCTTCCAAACATGGCAGAGAGATGTCAACTGTGCTGCTAAGAAAAAGATCTATGCCAGTGCAAAAGCTGAGGTCCAAAGAAGGACAAGAGAAGAACATCTGGTGGACAAAGAAGGCTGAAGAAATCCAACACCTGGGAGACACCCATAATGCTCAGGGATTTTTCAAAGCCACAAAGGTCATCTATGGACCAAGAAACCATGGCATACATACTCTACGCTCATCAGATGGAACCAAACTTCTGAAGGACAAAAAATCAATTGCACTACCAAAGCCTCCTGAATCGCAGCTCCAATGTGGCCGAAGAGGTTCTCTCACAAATCCCACAACAACAAACCAGGGATGAGCTTGCAGCACTGCCTAGTTTGAAATAAGTCAGCAATTTTTATTTTATTTTATTTTTGTCGTGTCAGGAGCGACCTGAGAAATTGCAAGTCGCTTCTGGTGTGAGGGAATTGGCCATCTGCAAGGACGTTGCCCAGGGGACGCCCGGATGATTTGATGTTTTTATCATCCTTGTGGGAGGCTTCTCTCCTGTCCCCGCATGAGGAGCTGGGGCTGATAGAGGGAGCTCATCCGCCTCTCCCCAGATTCAAACCTGCGACCTGTCGGTTTTCAGTCCTGCCGGCACAGGGGTTTAACCCACTGCACCACCGGGGGCTCCTCATGTCAGCAATGCCATCAGCCAACAAAAAAATAACAAAGCCAGCGGACCTGACGGGATCCCTACTGAAATCTTTAAAGAGGGAGGACCTGACACAACAACTCCACCAGCTCATTGAAAAAGTATAGATGACCGAGAAAATCCCAGCAGATTTCAAGGATACCACCATCATCACCCTCTTCAAAAAAGGGGAAAGAACAGACTGCGGAAACTATTGAGGTATCTCCCTTCTAACCTCTGCTGGGAAAATCCTCGCAATAATCCTTGCAAACCACTTTCTAGCCCTCTCAGAAGACACCCTCCCAGAATCCCAGAACAGCTTCCGTCCCTCCAGAGGAACAGTGGACATGATCTTCACTGCACGACAGCTCCAAGAAAAATGCAGGGAACAAAATCAACCACTGTACATGGCATTCATCGACCTTGCAAAGGCATTCGACACAGTGAATCGCAGCGCCCTCTGGACCATCCTCCAGAAAATCGGGTGCCCTAACAAATTTGTGAACATCCTGCGGATCCTCCATGATGACATGATGGCAACAGTCTTGGACAACAGTAGCTCCCAAAGTGACCCATTTAAGGTGGAATCAGGTGTCAAACAGGGATGTGTTATTGCCCCAACTTTATTCTCCATCTTCATCGCTATGATACTTCATCTTGTGGATGGGAAGCTTCCCACAGGAGTGGAAATCATCTATCGGACAGATGGCAAGCTATTCAACCTCAGCAGACTGAAAGGCAAAACCAAGGTTACAACAACATCTGTTATAGAACTCCAGTATGCTGATGACAATGTTGTCTGTGCGCATTCAGAAGAAGACCTACAAGCCACTCTAAACACCTTCGCAGAAGCATACGAGAAACTTGGCCTCTCATTGAACATTGAGAAAACCAAAGTGCTCTTCCAGCAGTCACCAGCCAATCCCTCTCCAATGCCAGAGATACAGCTTAATGGTGTAACATTAGAAAACTTTGACCATTTCCGCTACCTTGGCTGCCACCTCTCCACCAAAGTCAACATCAACACCGAAACAGAACACCACCTGAGCTCTGCAAGTGCAGCATTTTTCCGAATGAAGCAGAGAGTGTTTGAGGACCGGGACATCCGTAGGGATACCAAGGTGCTTGTTTATAAAGCTATTGTCCTCCCAACCCTGCTATACGCCTGCGAGACGTGGACTGTCTACAGATGTCACATGCAACTCCTAGAATGTTTCCATCAGCGCTGCCTCCGGAAAATCCTGCAAATCTCTTGGGAAGACAAGCGGACAAATGTCAGTGTGCTGGAAGAAGCAAAGACCACCAGCATTGAAGCGATGGTCCTCCTCCATCAACTCCGCTGGACCGACCACGTTGTCCGGATGCCTGACCACCGTCTCCCAAAGCAGTTGTTCTACTCTGAACTCAAGAACAGAAAACGGAATGTTGGTGGGCAGAAAAAGAGATTTAAAGATGGGCTCAAAGCCAACCTTACAAACTCTGGCATAGACACTGAGAACTGGGAAGCCCTGGCCCTTGAGCACTCCAGCTGGAGGTCAGCTGTGACCAGCAGTGCTGCAGAATTCGAGGAGGCACGAATGGGGGGGGGGCGAAAGAAATGTGCCAAGAGGAAGGCACGTCAAGCCAACCTGACCGGGACCGCCTTCCACCTAGAAACCAATGCCCTCACTGTGGGAGACAATGCAGATCAAGAATAGGTCTCCATAGTCACCTACGGACCCATCCTGGAGGATTATCCTACTTGGACAATGAGGGATCACTTAAGTAAGTAAGTGTCCAGAATTCTTTCCACCTTCAGTAGGATCAAAGAAGATTTCTGCTCTTTTATATGCAGATGACATGGTGTTAGTCTCATTTGCCCAAATAGGTCTAAGAAGGCTGCTTACTAAGCTTGGCATTCTGAAGAAAAGCTGAATATTAATTATAATAAAACAAAGGTGATGGTGTTCATAAAAGACAGTCATAGTTCAGATGGTCCATTGGTGGCCACCAGATTGAACAATGCAGGGAATTTAAATACCTGGGAGTACATTTTCCAGAGCCTCTATCATGGAAGCCTCATATAGAACACAGCAGAGCAGTGGCACTAAAATCAGTTGGAGGAATCCTCAGATTTTATAACACTGCAGGGGGCCATCTGGTTGCCCCCGCTCTAAAAATATTCCAGCGCAAAGTTACTGCCCAGATGATGTACGGCGCCACAGCCTGGAGATGGGATGATTCACAGATACTGATGATTCACAGACACAGGCCCTCCAGAATACATTCCTTAAGAAACTGCTGAGACTCCCACCAGCCACTCCAGTAACCTTTGTCAGGGCAGAAGTTGGTCTACCCTCCATAAGATCCCGCATTCACTTTTCCCTATGCAACAACTGGAGGATCATAAAGGATTCCTCAGCTAGGGTTTTCCCAAAGCTATGTTTTGAACATCTGTCAGAATGCAAAGTCTGGAGCTCAAAACATCAGAAATTGCTAGAAGTATACCCTACCCTGTCTCATGAGCCTTCGATCTTGAACTCAAGAGAGAAGCTGAATGAATACATTTACAATCAAGGCATTTAATTGGACAGCCAGGCTATTAGCAGCTCCAAATTCTCAACATGGTTCAAGTTGTACAAATCTGACCATGAAAGGGCTATGTACCTAACCAAGCTTACCGGGCTTTAGCACAGGTTAACCACCAGCTGCAGTAAATCTTGCCAGTTGAAAGGTTGGCAGTTCGAAGACCGGGTCAGGAGTGAGCACTTGACCTTTAGCCCAGCTCACTGCCCACCCAACAGATTGAAAACAGCTGTGAGTAGATAAATAGGTACCGCTTACTGGGGAGGTATTTTAATGGCACCATAAGGAAATAGGGGGTCCCTGGTGGTGCAGCGGGTTAAACCGCTGAGCTGCTGAACTTGATGACCGAAAGGTTGGCAGTTCGAATCCAGGCAGTGGGATAAGCTCCCACTGTTAGGCCCAGCTTCTGCCAACCTAGCAGTTTGAAAACATGCAAATGTGAGTAGATCAGTAAGTACCACTTCTGCAGGAAGGTAACGGCGCTCCATGCAGTCATGCTAGTCACATGACTTTGGAGGTGGAAATGGAGATGAGCACCACCCCCAGAGTCGGACTCAACTAGACTTAATGTCAAGGGGAAACCTTTACCTTATAAGGAAATAACAGAAAATGCTAGCGATTCCATAAAAAAAGGAGGAAATCTGTGAACAGGGCTCTTCGACATGGGATGCTTTTATCCAGCCCGAGTGGGGTTGATTACCCCTAAAGGGTTCTTGCTTACTTCAAAAAGGTAACATCCCAAAATCCAATCTGAATGTAAGACTGGGGTAGTGTTAAAACAATGGGCATTAAAATATCCAGCTATCTTCTTACGTGACAAGTAGCATGGATGGGCATGTTATTTGACTGGCCCCACTAGTTTGGTGATGACTCTTGCTGTATTAGGTTCCTATGTGTCTCTTAATATAGAAAATGTGCCGTCTTTTTTAGGGCTGGACAGCCCGTCCTATCTGAGCATTAAATGGGGCACCGTAGGTCCTGTATTCAGGAGAATGGGCCCTACGTGTGGCTCTCAAATTATAGACCAAAGGCTTGGGGATGGGTCAGAAGGGAAAGATCTGCCATACCAGAGGTGGTCACTAGAGGGACTGGATCCAGTGGTAGCTTAAAGTATTATAGCCCATCACTAGTGGCGAAGGTGATTGTCTTCCAAAGGTAGGGTTTTGGCGGTAGCCCAAAAAGTAGCTAACAGATTCAAGCATTGGGTCAGTGACATCAGCAATGAATGCTTCCACTGACAGCTGGTAGTACCTTCTAGTCGTTCAGACTATAGAAAAGGCTAAGATATCTTCACCTGACAGAAGGATTGCAGTAGGATGCAGAGAACTTCTGAAGATCAGCTAACCTGGTCATGTTCCCAGCAAACATCTAGCCCCCGGTGACACAGTGGGTTAAACCCTTGTGCTGGAAGGACTGCTGACTGGCAGGTCAGCGGTTCAAATCCGGGGAGAGCGGGTTGAGCCCCTTCTGTCAGCTCCAGCTCCCCATCCGGGGACATGAGAGGAGTCTCCCACAAGGATGGTAAAACATCAAACATCCGGGCGTTCCCTGGGCAACATCCTTGCAGATGGCCAATTCTCTCACTTCAGAAGCGACTTGCAGTTTCTCAAGTCACTCCTGACACGAAAAAAAATCTAGCTATGTGGGGTGAGGACACTACCCCCATAAGAATTCTGCCCTCCCAAGAAATTTCCCTTTAGTCCCCAACTTTCTAGCCTTCCTGAAACTTCAAACATTGGGTGATCGTTTAGTAATGCAGGTTCAGGCATCCAATCTGGCAAAGTGATTGAGAGGAACGCAAACACAGCAAATAAAATGGTTCAAACGGTGTCTCTACAATGCTAGAAATTGGGGAACTAATAGAAAGATTCATTTGGAGGAGACAGCATGATTATTTAAGTCAACAGCCTCATTTTGTTTCCCGCAGGGGCCTCAGCCATCCTGGCTGGATTCTTCTAGGAACAAGGTTCAAGAGTCCAACAAAGCAACCTCTTCTGTCCTTGAAGGGCTAAGATGGTGGTGTGAGAGAGGCACCTCCACTTCTGACCCGGTCTTCCCCTGAGACTTAGGAGGCATTGAGGCACAAGGCCAAGGCTGGAGAACACGCTAATGCAGCCAATCAGATAGAACAATGTGAGCCAAGAATGCTGACCTTGGATAAGGGAGCCTCTTGTCTTCCACAACTAACTGATGCCCGCTTCATGTGACCAAGCAAGATATTCCCCTGTTCGCTATGCACTATCGCAGCCCACTTAATGCTACCTAAAGTGCAATGGTCAGCTAAACGATGTGAGAGTGCATCAACTGCCTAGAGGTCATATTATTTGGGTGGTTTACATAATTTAATCCAAGTGCCCAAAGGGTATTTCCTTTATGCAGAACCTTGATACGATGCCTATGTTCCACTAAGAGCATGGATCACATTGATCCTCTTTTCTTCGGGGGGAATTTACAGCTCGTGACTCCATCCCACCCCCAAGTAACAACAGAGTTAAGCCTAAATTTCCATTCTCCTTGCCCACAGGAAACGGGGCCATCTAATTTCAGCTAAAAACTTGCAGTTGAGCTGCCCATGGTTTAGCCATGCACACCTAGTCCTCTAGGAAACAATAAAGGAGTTTGTATCCCCCAGTTGAGCATGTTAGGTCCATCTATGCAGGAACCACGAGGCCCCTTCCAAATCTGGACTGCAAAAGAATCCACTCACCAATGAACATTGATTCTTTCTGGTACTCTTTGCTGAGGTGGGAGCGCTGGGCCACGCAAAAGACGTACCTCTCTAGGACATACCAACACATCTCATAGTAGAATGGGTAGCGGAACTTGGCCTGCACCTGCAAGCAAAATGGGAAAAAATCATCAATCCATCTGGGCGGCAGGGAAGTTTGCGGTTCCTTGAATCAGTTATCATCTTATCGAGCGTACAGGCCGCCTTCTTTGCAGGAGCGGGAGGAGGGGAAGCGAAGGTGGGCGCCAAGGGAGATGGATGCTTTCTGCATACGCAATGAGCAACCCTGCCTGCCTTCCCCGAGCAGAGAGCTGAGCGCTTCGTTTTGTGGTTCACCAATTTTGCACTTTCCTGGGAAGGGAAAGGGAGCGAGGGAAAGGGAGGACTGAATTTTCGAGATGGCTCCCTCCTCCAATCTCCCAGGAAAGAGACCTTCCACCTCCGGAGCCAGTTTCCCTGGCCTGGTGTGTAAATATTCATAAACGTGGTCACGGATAGATGAGAATCTCCAGAGAATGCCCATTTAAAAAGGAAAGCGGCACATTTCTTCGATTACCTGGGCGTTACATCCCATTTCTCACATCGCTGCACCCAGCCCACCTCCCCACCCCTCCAGGGCTAATCCAAGGAGGACAAAAAACACATTCGAAAGTACGGCTTCACAGAGCGCACATCTCGTGCATGGCACTTGCAAACACAGGGCTTAAGGTGACTTCAGAAAATAAGAAGACAAATTTATAGAGGAGGCTAGTCCACAATTGCCAGCCGCAAAAAACCTCCATGTTCAGAGGTAGTGGGACTCTCAATTCCATGTGCAGAGAGCAAGGAAGGGGCAATTGCCTTCAAGAATTGTTGCCAGAAACAAGCATCTCAGGGAAGTGAGAACATTCACTTCCTAAGAAACTGAAGGAGGAAGAGAAGCTAATTCCACCGAATTCCTCTTCTGCCAGAAACAGGATCTGATGGGTCTTCGCTCTGGTCCAGCCCGGCTCTTCTTACCTTTCATAAAATGCTTGAGCACCATAGAAACTGAACCCTTTATGTGTACCCTTTATACCTCCAGCTTCACATATTACAACTTATCCAGTGTTGCAGTCTAGCAAAAAAATCCAGCTTTTTAAATATGGGTAGTTTCACACTGATACTGCAGCTGAAACGTGGTCCTGAGATTTCATGGGGAGGAGGGAGCGGCTGAGAGATGGTACTCACATTCAGCTCCCCTAACCTGGAAACTCATGAAGTTTCTTTAAGTAGCAACTGATCTAATCAGATGCAAAATAACTAGGACTGTTGAGGCTAATGGTTTGAAGTACCAAAATGCCCCATCTTGTGAAGCTGGCCCTGGATTTAGCCCAGCATTGTTAGTTCAGACCTATGCTGACACAGCTTCCCCATCAACAGCTACAGAATCCTTTTAACTGGATTTGCTACCCACAAAGGAGGGCCAGGCTTTAACACAACATGTTAACCGCCAGCTGCAGTAATTCTTGCCAACCGAAAGGTTGACAGTTTGAAGCCTGGGTCAAGGTGAGCTCCTGGCCTTTAAGTCCAGCTTCTTCTACCTAACAGTTTCAAAAACAGCAATATGAGTAGATAAATAGCGGGGAGGTATTTAAGGCACCCATAAGGAAATGCCAAAAAAATGCTGATGATTCAATCAAGGAGGAAGTTTGCAAAAAAAAGCTCTTCGGCAGGGAAGATGGAGTGACAGCACCCCCCACTCCCCGTGGTCGAAACCGAGCAGAGCCTCCAAGATGCCGAAGCTGGAAAAGCCTATCTATACCTCTATCTATGTACAGTTGTCTGTCTTGTCAGTGTACAACGGCACTGAATGTTTGTTGTATATGTATTCTGTGATCCACTCTGAGTCCCTTTCGGGGTGAGAAGGGTGGAATATAAACACTGTAAATAAATAAATAAATGTGCTCCATCGCTGAACTCTTGATTTGTCAACCCAGGGTGACTTTCCTGCAATACCCTTCTGCACTCTCCCTTAAAACCTTAAATATGGAAGATCTCTCTAAGGCAGGCATCCTCAAACTGTGGCCCTCCAGCTGTTTGGGCCTTCAACTCCCAGAATTCCTGACAATTTAACAAGCTCATAAGGGCTTCTGGGAGTTTTCCAATTTGCTATCCAATGGTGCATCACAACGGTCAGACCAGACATAAGGGGAATCAGCAATGCTAAAAGAGGGATGTTCAAAAAAGGAACTCGAATTATGGTAGGGTTTTTTTTCTTTCAAATTTGTTTTGCCCATTGTTTTCCTAAGAGAGCACTGCAGGAAACAAAATTTTCAAAGAATTGGACTTACTAATGGGAAGCTGCCTGTTCCACCCCTCGGCCTTCAAAAGGTTTTCAGCCACATGCCTGGGGAATATTAAAGACAGCGTTTGCTCAACATTTTTGCCCACAGGTTTCCGAGCGTCACCAAATTTAGTCGTTTGTTTTTTTATATATACTCGATATATTCAAATTCAAATGCACAAAACAAGGCAAGTCAAAGGCATGCAGTGCTCCCGTGTGCCGTCAAAAGGTCAATTGGGAATTGGCAATTTCAGTTCCTAATGGCCAGGCCATACGAGCTCCATCCCGCAGCCGATTCCTACTATGCCTCTCATTCAATGTCTTCCTGAAATAGGCCCTGCAAGGTGCTGCGCAAGAGGCGGCCACTGTGAATAAAAGACGAGGGGGCCTCACGGCTACAAACCCGTTTGCTGAGGGGCAAAAGAGGCCGAGGACCCAGGCCAAAAGGCAGCATCTCTGATGTCTCCAGTGTCAGAAACAGGACTCCATACCAAAGGGATTCTTGATGTGAGGCAAAAAAGCAAGGATGTTTGAGAGCATTACTTTTAAAAGACCAAAAGGGAATTCAAGGCATTGAAGCAAGACCCAACACCCTGAGAACTTGTCATTATGAGTACAGAAGACAGACCTTTTCCTATAAGAACATCTTGGTTGTGGAATTGCCTCCCAAGCAGAGAGTCCAGCTATACTGTGGATCAGTGGTTCCCAACCTTTTTTTGACCAGGTCCCACTTGACCAGGACCCACTTTGACCAGGGCTCACTTTGATCAGGGATCACTTTGACCAGGGCCCACTCTCCAACATTAGTACCAAAAGGGCTGGGGCTGGTTAGCTCTTGAAAAAGAAGCGGAAATTACAAAATAAAATAAAGAGGAAGGTGGTTTGCAGACCAGATTTTAGTTCTCGTGGTCCACCACTGTGCCGCAACCCACAGGTTGGGAACCACTACTGTAGATTCACTGCAGTGTGACCCCACGTGAACTGCCATGGATCAATGTGCTGGAATCCTGGGAGTTGTAGTCTAGGGCAGCATAGGCACTGGCTGGGAAACTACCAGGAAAACTCCCCTATATTTATCATCTTGGTTTGAATGATGACAGAAAGGTGGAACATAAGGACAAAACAGCAGTGCACTGCTTCTGTACTTTGCAAGAGCTCAACAGCATTAAGGGAGGTCATTATTTCGAAAATTAAAGAATCACCGAACCAAATGGTCTGGAATACCATCATTTAAGATTCCAATATATCCTCTACCAAAGGAATAAAGCCTGTGCCAGAAAAGGCTTAGAGGGGAGGTTTTTAATTGATGCTTTCCAGCTGCAAGTTCTATGATCAATAATTTACCACTCACCGACGTTTTTCTTCCTTTGCTAATTATTTCTCAACAGTAATATCCTCGCCGGAGAAAGATAGCTTTCCTAGTTCAAAGGGAAAATAAATGAAGATAGCCCAGAGACTTGCACAAAAGGCCTGCTTTTTGCAGGGAGGGCACCTTAAATCTCGTAAGGAAATAGGAGGAGGTGTCGGAGCGAGAACTGGGCCCTTGCAGCTTGGAGCACAACTAGGCATCTCCTCCAAAGAAAGAAGTTGGCAGTTACTACACCATTCTGTTGGTCATGGGCATTCCATAAGAAGGACAGAGTTTACATCTCAATGTTCAGAGTAGGACTTTGTGAGACAATGACAATCTTTAATGGAAAGAGAAATGCTACCCGCAGAATCCAGATGGTTGCTCTTGCCAGGGTTCTGCCTTGCCAGATGAGACCAAAACTCTTTCAATTGGCAGCAACCTATGGAGCAAATGAAGCATCCTATTTTCTGCAGCACCCCACCTTAGACAAAAGGGGTGTTGGGGCCCCCCAAAATAGGTTCATATGCCCCCTCAGGGCACACTCCTGGCATAGCTGGGAATGCTAGGACTTGTAGGCCACCTGCATTCTGTCTCAATGTCTCGCTAATGCTTTCCTGCCTCCCCAGGAATTAGGAAACACCCATCTAAATTCTCCATCCTAGAATAAAACCACAGAGGGGGATATATTGTGACCAGGTTATAAATCACAGTTACTGCCTCAACCCTGCTTCATCCCGGTCCAAGGCAAGATCAGGCAGTCAAAACAGTAACTCACTATTTAAAAACTGTGGGGAGGGCCATAGCTTGAGTTCCAAGTCTCCATCTGAACTGCAAATTAGGAAGAAGCAACAAAGCTTCATGATTCCCCAAATATTCAGTGCATAAAGAATTTTGAGCCACGAAAGAAAAAGAAACAAGATCCCATGACAAACAGATAAATTGGACTGGATGAGGGCTAATAAGTCGAAATGAAATCCAGACAAGACAGAGGCACTCCTGGTCAGTCGGGGTGGGGATTCCCCCAAGCACTTGCTGAATTTCCAACAGAGCTCACAACCTTTGAGGATGCCCGCCATAGATGTGGTCAAAACGTCAGGAGAGAATGCTTCCGGAACATGGCCATACATCCCGGAAAACTCACAGCAACCCAACGATTCTGGCCATGAAAGCCTTTGACAACACATTATCTGCAAGTTTTTCCAAGAACAAGAAAACCTGGCCTTGAAAATGTGGCACTTCACCCATCACTGGGACATGCTAGGTATAACTGGACTGGCTCTTACCTGTCCTGCAAAGATCCACTTTTCCAATGTGAATCCGCGGCTAGACCACAGCTTAAGAGCCCTCGATCCACCCAGCAGACCCAAGAGATTCCCTACTGCAAAGTTACCTGCCTTTTTCCAGGTCTCAGGATCATCCGCAGCTTGCCTTTCCCACAAAGGGAATTTCATGCATGAGCAAAGTTAGAAGGGATTGGAGGATGCTTACCCTCGTTCTGTCCTCAATCTCGTAGATGCGAAGCTGCATGGGAACATTAAAGCTATGCAGGATGTTGCCCCCAAACACCAGGGAATCGACTGGCGTGTAAACAGCATGGATCCACCCTACGGAAGCAAGGAGGGAAAAAAAAAAGACAAAGGAGAAAGAACAAACCTAGTTGTAAAACGGTTTTGGAGCAGTCCAGTCATGTCCAAACTCAAAGGTACCTGGGAAAGATGTAGTTTGAAGTTCTTCGGCAGATAATCTATACACATAATAAAAGTGAAAATATGTATGTGTGTGTGGCTGGGGTGTCCACTTGGACAGGCTCCCACTTCCACAAACAGCTATAGCTCTCACTAAGGAGACACCAATGGCCCTCCCTCCAATGATACTGCGGGTTATGGTGAGCGCCATGAACATGTCCAAGACCCCTGCCAATGCCCTCCACAAACACCACACTGCTCAACACCCAAGTGAAGGCTTTCATACAGGAACCATTTCATCCTAGATTTTATATGTTTTCTCCACAACAGACATCCAGTGTTTCTTAATCTCTCCATTGGAGTGGAATTTGTATGACTCTGCCCACTGCCTCTCCCATAACCCTTTCCAATTATTTTCTATGGCACACAGCAAACAGAGGAATTGATCAGCAACTGAACATACTGAAGAGGTTTGGGAGGAATTCGCCTTGATTTATAGGAGTTGTAGGTTCTGGGATGTATAGTTCAATCAATGAGCACTCTGAACTCCACCAATGATGGACATGGAACTAACTTGGCACACAGAACCCCTATGAGCACCAAAATATACTGGAGGTCTTTGGAGGGATTTATAGGAGTTGCAGTTGACCTACATCCAGAGCGCACTATGAACCCAAACTATGATGGATCTGGACCAAACTTGTCATGCATACCCGATATGCCCAACTTTCAATACTGGTGGGTTTTGAGGAGAATTGGCCTGGACATTTCGGAGTTGTAGGTACTGGGATTTATAGTTCACTGGCAATCAATGAGCACTCTGAACTCCACCAAAGACGGAATTGGACCACACTTGGCACACAGAGCCCCCATGACCAGCAAATAATACTGGAGGTCTTTGGCTAAAATTCACCTTGATTTGGGGAATTGTAGTTGACCTACATCCACAGAACACTGTGAACCCAAACACTGATGGATCTGGACCAAATTTGGCACAGAGACCTGATATGCAGAAATTTGATTACTGGAGGGATTTGGGGGGAACTGACCTTTCTTTCTGGGAGTTGTAGTTCACCCACAACCAAAGAAACTGTGACCTCCACTGATGATGGACCTGGCTCAAACTTGGCACACAGAACTCCCATGACTAACTCAACCTACTGGATGGGTTTGAGGGGACTGTCTCACCATAGTGGGAGTTTACTCTACAGTCAGAGAGCACACTGAACCCCACCAACGATGCATCTAGAGCAAATTTGCCCAACATAACAAACTTTAAGTACTGATGGAGTTTCTCGGGGTTAACCTGGCACGATGTGAGTTGTTGTTCACCCACCTTATGCATTTTGTACAATTAAAATATTGGCTTTTTCAAATAGCCCAGGCAACACTGGGTACCCAAGCTAGCTTAAAATAAAACATAGAGCTATAACTCTTACGATTTCATAGGATGTTGCCATGGGTACTAAAAGGAAATTGTAATGCTACGAAGGGCTGCTGATAAGTCTGGCTTTACCCAGAAAGAAACGAGATAAGAAGATGAAACTTTACATTTATTCCACATACTCTCCACTGATATCAACACACTTCTTACATCGGTATTCCAAGTTCTGTAAGCCTTGCAAAAAGCAGGATTTCAGTTGTGCCTCAAACCAGTCATCCATAGCAGCCATGGCATTGGAAATGGTGTGATATATGGTACCCTTGAGGTGTTTCTTCAGGTTTGGAAACAGATGATAGTCGGAGGGAGCTAGATCCGGTGAATAAGGTGGGTGGTCAACCAGCTGGAAGCCTAGCTCCACCAGTTTTGCCATGGTCACTTGTGCAGCGTGAGCGGAGGCCTTGTCTTGCAGGAACAAGATTCCTTTGGACAGCTTGCTGCACCTTTTGACCTTTGGAGCTGCCTTCAATTGGTCCAAAAGTTCAATTGGTCCAAAAGTTCACCAATACCTTGCATTGGTGGAACCATTTTGAAGGTAGTCCACTAGCAGCACACCCTCCTTATCGCAGAACACAGACACCAACACCTTCGCGGCTGATTTTTGCACCCTGAACTTATTTGGACGAGCCACTCTTTTGACTGCTCCTTGGTTTCAGGGTCATACAAATAAATCCAGGTCTCATCCTTAGTGGCCAGTCAATCCAGGAAGATCTTATCAGTCTGGAAACACTGACAAATGGACTGGGAAGTTTTCACTCCCATGCTTTTCTGATCTGTTTTAAACATTTGGGGACCCACATTGCAGAGAGCTTCTTCATGTTCAAATGTTCACGAATAATGACACAAACACATTCATGAGAAATCCTCATGATGTCTGCTATTCCTTTAGCTGAAATTCGCCGATTCTCCAGTATGCACAGCATTGACAATCTCCGAAACAACAACCACTCTCGGTTGTCCAGGACCTTCCTCACCATTGGTGCTGAAGTGGCCTATTTTAAATTTGGTAATCCAGTACTTAACTGTAGAATATGAAGGGCATTGATTCCCCAATGTCTGTGACATATCACCATGAATATCCTTCGCGAACTTTCCTTGCAGAAACAAGAATTTTATCACACCTCTGCTCTCATTTGCTGTGAATATCACCTTAGACTCTGCCATTTTGTTTTCCCGCATGCCTAGATCATTGTTGCCATAAGCTACAAACACAAAATTTTGAAAACATATATTAGACACATAAGGCTTTCATGTGATGTAACATTTGTTACCATAGAAGCAAAACAAGACCACAAAGCCAAAGACTTATCAGCAGCCCCTCGTATAGCAGTGTATCGTGAGGATTTGCATTTGTTTAGAGGTTTGAAGGGGGGAGGTTGTACTACAATCCCTGACCCATCCTCCCATGCTGCCTAGGGGAGAATAGGAGTTGTGATCCCCAACAGTAACTCTTTCAGGCTGTGAGGATGCCTGCACAGGATCCGCTAACATTCTCTGAAGTCAAAGGGACTTATCCCTTTGACAATTTTTGCAAGGGAACTGCAAAGCATAAGCCTCAAAGCTTGAGAAGTTGGACCTCAGCTGGGAATCTAGAGGCTGACATGATCGTCCACATAATGCAACAAGCAGAGCTTAGAAAGGTTGTGCATTTGGACTATGGATGCCAGAATCTGTGACCCAGTATTGCCACTGATCCTGCTAACTGCCTGACACTTGAAACTGGAACATTTTCAAGCTCCGGTGCACAGAACAGATGATTCTGGAGAAAAGAGGGGCCCTTCTGGAAGAGAGAGACTTACCTGAAGGGATGAAGAAGGTGTGCCCTTGCTTCAGTTCAATTCTTTGGCATAGCTCCACCCTGTCGCCCAAAAAGATATCACTCTGCTTCCCTGAGAGAACCCATTCCTCATAGAGTTCTAGGTTCTGTGAAGTTGGAGGAATCAACCAGAAGATCTAAAAATACATGCATTCCCCAAGTTACTAACAAGATAGATTCTGTAGGTTTGTTCTTAAGTTGATTTTGTTTGTAAGTTGGAACAGGTACATTTTTAATTGGCTAGTGTGTGTGTGTGTGTGTGTGTGTGTATATACATGCACACGCACACACACATATACGAGGGTGGGTCAAAAAGTTTTGCCTCCTGTGTCATAATTTTTTTAATGAACCTATAACAGCAGAAGTTGCTCCAGATCATAACCTTAACTGTCCTCTACAGAAAACTACCCTTCAACATAATCACCATCAATTTGGACACATTTGTACCATTGTTTAACCCAGGCATCAAAACCATTTTGGAAAAATTCAAGGTTTTGCTTCATGACCCATGATTTTAAAGCTATTTGAATGTCATTCAAGTCATTGAATCTGAAACCACATATGTTGTCTTTCAGAGGTGAAAGTCAGAAGGGGCCAAATCACAAACATTCTTGAAGTGATGATGGTTTTCCTTAGGGGCACAACCTTCTTTGGCCAGAAATTCAATGAGAACTCTTTCTTTTAGCTTCAAATTTATAGTTCTAATCAGTCAATCAGAAAAAGAAAAGGCTGTATCAGTAGAGTAAGGTTACCTCTATCATATCATACATAGTCCAGTAGCTGGGAAAGAAAGAAAAGTTAGAGCTATGGAGGCATTGCTTTTTGACCCACCCTTGTTTATGTGTGTGTTGTGTGTGTGTGTGTGTGTGTGTATATATATATATATAAAAGCTTTGGATAGCGCAGAGAAGGGTGAACATGCCTGTAGAGTTTGTTTTGCTGTCTGCTACCCAGATCAGAAGATTTCACCTCACTTTCTGTCACTGTGATAATTGGATTTTGAAAAAAATGGCTTGTTGTGGAAAGAATGATTGGTGATAAAGCTTCTGTGGAGACACCTTTTCCCTGTGATAATTCCTTCAGGAGTTAATTTAGCTTCCTGGAGGTAGATTTCTCTCCCTTCCTATTGTCTTATCTCCGTTTTTAACGATGAGTCATTTATAAGTCAGATGTCTGTAACTTGGGGACTGCCTGTACATCAGCAACAATTGTGTGGGATTTTCCATTGCAAAAACTGCAACTCCCAAAATTCCATAGCCTTGAGCTATGGCAGTTAAAGTGGGCTCGAACTGAATTCATTCCATAGTGTAGATGCAGCCTGAGCCTCCTGTTGCGGGGTATAAATAACATTATTATTATTATTTGAAACACAACAAGAGGCATGTAGCTGGGGGAGGGGGGGGCTTGAGGGGCTTCAGCCCCCCCCCCCCCGAAATTCTCATGGTGGTTCGCGAAAAGACCTTATTGGTGAATTATTTAAACTGTTATGTTTATTCATATCATGATCTGATCACCATGCTCAATATATCCCATATGCATGGGGGTATTGGGGTAACAATACAAAAGGTTTGCTAGGGTAGTCCCTCTTTCACTCAGACTCAGCCCCCCCCCCCCGAAACAAATTCAGCCCTCCCCCCCCCAATCGAAATCCTGGCTACGGGCCTGCAACAAGATGAGTCCACAGCAGACACTCTGCTGACTGTTGTATTGGATCACACATCGGACACTTCCCAAGTGTCTAGGACTGTGTGATGTATTGGCGAATAATGCACGCAGATCCCAGTAAGGTGGCCTTTTGCAGCTGGCAGATGGTAATCTTGACAGCGCTTATTGTGTTTAAGCGCAGGCCAAGGTCTTTAAGCACTGCACCCAGTGTGCTGATCACCACTGGGACCACCTTGACTGGCTTGTGCCAGAGTCTCTGCAATTCAATCTTTAAATCCTCATATTGTGTCAGCTTTTCCAGTTGTTTCTCTTCAATCCTGCTGTCACCTGGGATTGCAACATCAACAATCCATACTTTGTTGTTGTTGTTGTTGTTGTTATTGTTATTCTTATTATTATTATTATTATTATTATTATATTCATTATTATATTCATTTTTAGACCATTAAATGACTTAATTTGTTGGTGAACTGTAACCAATTCATAACACAAGCCACCCAGAGGGTCCAAAAGCAGGGAGAAAATCTAAAAATAAATCAACAAGCATGTCCCATTTCTGTTTCAAGCATCAGCAAAATATTCCCCCCACCTTCGCCTTTTCTACTGCCCAAGCAAATTTCTTAAGAACGCAAAGGTAAGCATTTAGGAAGATGTTATAAGGGATATTTTAAAAAATCTCAGAAAGCTCGCACAACATTCACTTACTTTTCCGCCTCGGAAAACGTGATACCAAACTGATGTGCCTCCGAAATCAATGTGAAAGTCAGTGAAGCATCCTTTTACGCTCATCAAACAGTACCTGCAAAGGACAGAAACACATTTGTTGTTGTTCATTCGTTCAGTCGTCTCCGACTCTTCGTGACCTCATGGACCAGCCCACGCCAGAGCTCCCTGTCGGCCGTTACCACCCCCAGCTCCCTCAAAGTCAGTCCAGTCACTTCAAGGATGCCATCCATCCATCTTGCCCTTGGTCGGCCCCTCTTCCTTTTGCCTTCCACTTTCCCCAGCATAATTGTCTTCTCTAGGCTTTCCTGTCTCCTCATGATGTGGCCAAAGTACTTCAACTTGTCTCTAGTATTCCCTCCAGTGAGCAGTGGGCTTTATTTCCTGGAGGATGGACTGGTTGGATCTTCTCGCAGTCCAAGGCACTCTCAGCAACTTTCCTCCAACACCACAGCTCAAAAGCATCGATCTTCCTTCGCTCAGCCTTCCCTAAGGTACAGCTCTCACATCCGTAGGTGACTACAGGGAATACCATGGCTTTGACTAGGCGGATCTTTGTTGTCAGTCTGATGTCTCTACTCTTCACTATTTTATCGAGACTGGACATTGCTCTCCTCCCAAGAAGTAAGCGTCTTCTGATTTCCTGGCTACAGTCTGCATCTGCAGTAATCTTTGCCCCTAGAAATACAAAGTCTGTCACGGCCTCCACGGTTTCCCTCTATTTTCCAGTTGTCAATCATTCTTGTTGCCATAATCTTGGTTTTTTTGACGTTTAGCTGCAACCCGGCTTTTGCGCTTTCTTCTTTCACCTTGATTAGAAGGCTCCTCAGCTCCTCCTCGCTTTCGGCCATCAGGTGTCATCTGCATATCTGAGGTTGTTAATGTTTCTTCCAGCAATTTTCACCCCAGCCTTGCATTCATCAAGCCCCGCACATCGCATGATGTGTTCTGCATACAAGTTAAAAAGGTTGGGTGAGAGGATGCAGCCTTGCCGTACGCCTTTCCCAATCTTGAACCAGTCTGTTGTTCCGTGGTCAGTTCTGACTGTTGCTACTTGGTCCTTGTACAGATTCCTCAGGAGAGAGACAAGGTGGCTTGGGATGCCCATCCCACTAAGAACTTGCCACAGTTTATTATGATCCACACAGTCAAAGGCTTTAGAATAGTCAATGAAGCAGAAGTAGATGTTTTTCTGAAACTCCCTGCCTTTCTCCATTATCCAGCGGATATTGGCAATCTGGTCTCTCGTTCCTCTGCCTTTTCTAAACCCAGATTGAACATCTGGCAACTCTCGCTCCATGTATTGCTGGAGTCTTCCTTGCAGGATCTTGAGCATTACCTTACTGGCATGAGAAATAAGGGCCACTGTACGGAAGTTTGAGCAGTCTTTCGCATTTCCCTTTTTTGGTATGGGGATATAAGTTGATTTTTTCCAGTCTGATGGCCATTCTTGTGTTTTCCATATTTGCTGGCATATGGCATGCATCACCTTGACAGCATCATCTTTCAAGATTTTAATCAGTTCAGATGGGATCCTGTCATCTCCTGCTGCCTTGTTGTTAGCAATGCTTCTTAAGGCCCATTCAACATCACTCCTCAGGATGTCTGGTTCTAATTCATTCACCACACCGTCAAAACTATCCTCAATATTATTATCCTTCCTATACAGATCTTCTGTATAGTCTCGCCCCCTTCTCTTGATCTCTTCAGCTTCTGTTAGGTCCCTGCCATCTTTGTTTCTTATCATACCAATTTTTGCCTGAAATTTACCTCCAATGTTTCTAATTTTCTGGAAGAGGTCTCTTGTCCTTCCTATTCTGTTGTCTTCTTCAACTTCCATGCATTGCTTATTTAAAAATAGTTACTTATCTCTTCTGGCTAACCTCTGGAATTGCGCATTTAACTGGGCATATCTCCCCTTTTCACTGTTTCCTTTTGCTTTCCTCCTTTCTTGGGCTACTTCCAGTGTCTCAGCAGACAACCATTTTGCCTTCTTGGTTTTCTTTTTCTTTGGAACGTACTTTGTTGCCGCCTCCTTAACAATGTCGCGGACTTCTGTCCATAGTTCTTCTGGGACTCTGTTTACTAAATCTAGTCCTTCAAATCTGTTCTTCACTTCCACTGTATATTCGCTAGGAATGTTAGTGAGATCATATCTAACTGGTCTGTGTATTTTCCCTGATCTCTTTAGTTTTATTCTAAATTGAGCAATAAGAAGTTCGTTATCTGAGCTACAGTCAGCCCCAGGTCTTGTTTTCACCGACTGGATGGATGTCCGCCACCTTTGGCTGCAAAGGATGTAGTCAATCTGATTTCGGTGCTGACCATCTGGTGAAGTCCATGTGTAAAGCCGTCTTTTAGGTTGTTGGAAGAGAGTGTTTGTTATACACAGCGAGTTTTCCTGGCAAAATTCTATCAGCCTGCGTCCCGCTTCATTTTGTTCTCCCAGACCATGCTTGCCTGTGATCCCAGTTGTCATTTGACTTCCCACCTTGGCATTCCAGTCTCCTGTAATGAAAATAATGTCTCTTTTTGGTGTATTATCCAGTAGGTCCTGCAGATCCTCATAGAACTGATCTACTTCTGCTTCTTCAGCAGCTGTGGTTGGAGCATATATTTGGATCACTGTAATGTTGAAAGGCTTTCCTTGCACTCGAATTGAGATCATTCTGTCATTTTTTGGGTTGTATCCAAGCACCGCTTTAGCGAATTTCTTATTAATTATGAAGGCTACTCCATTTCTTCGATGTTCCTCTTGTCCGCAGTAGTAGATCTGGTGGTCATCTGATGTGAAGTGGCCCATTCCAGTCCATTTCAGTTTGCTGACCCCCAGAATGTCTATCTTTAGTCTTGACATCTCACCAATCACAACATCTAATTTGCCCTGGCTCATAGATCTTACATTCCAGGTTCCTATGGTGTGTTGATCTTTAGAGCATCGGATTCGTCGTTCACCTCCAGTACCGTCGGCCGCTAGCCTTCCTTTCGGCTTTGAGCTAGCTGTGTCATCACATCTGGGGCTAGTTGAACTTATCCTCTGCTCCTCCCAGTAGCATTTTGGCCATCTTCCGACCTGGGAGTCCCATCTTCCAATGGCATACCGACATATCTCTGGTTGTACTGGTCCATTTAGTTTTCTTGGCAAGGATACTGGAGTGGTTTGCCATTGCCTTCCCCAGGGATCACGCTTGGTCTGACCTCTCTGCCACAACCGTCCCGTCTTGGGTGGCCCTTCACGGTTTCGCTCATGACATCATTGAGGTGCTCAAGCTCCAGCGCCCCGACAAGGCGGTGATCCTTTGCTGGAGGAAACACATTTAAAGTATTCATATTCATATTCATATTTAATTACTTATTAATCGCCCTCCATCCGAGAATGCTCTAGGCGATTTACAGCTAAACTGTAAAAGATAAAATACATACATACAGAAATTAAAAATTAACAGAGATCGAATGCTCTAGTAAAAAGCCAGGTCTTAAGTGCTAGAGTAAAAGGTCCTAAGTCACGCATGGCTCTCATATAGGGTGGCAAGAAATTCCATAAGGCAGGGGCAGAAATAGAAAAAGCCCTGCGTCTGGTACTTTCCAAGTGCACTTCTCTAGGACCCGGTATATAGAGTAAGTCACGTTGGGCTGGTCGTTGCGATCTCTAATGATGGGAGAAGGAGAGGCGGTCCCTAAGGTACGATGGACCCTGGCCGTAAAGAATTTTAAAGGTCAGAACTAACATCTTATACAGGCCACGGTACTCAATTGGAAGCCAATGTAAATGTTGCAGCTCTGGTGTTATATGACATTTCATGGGCGTTCTTGTGAGTAACCTGGCTGCCGCATTCTGAACAATATGGAGCTTTCGGGTCGTAGACATAGGAAGGCCAACATAGGAAGGCCAACAACAAGTACAAAAACTAACCAGTCCGCTGTAGGAAAGAAAACTGACTTCCAGGAATGTAAGAAGCTAAAGGCTTCCTTGTTTCGTGTTTTGAGGGCAAAGCCTCAAAATAACCCATTTGTCTGGAAAATACCTTTCAAAACCTTGGAGGAAAAATCTCCTGTACAATTTGGGATTCCTTATCTGAAATAGCTGGATTTTCAAAAAGATCACACACTTCTACAAAGGTGAGACATGATTATAGTGTTATCTACATGCGCTGTCTGTGGTCTGATAGTCCACTGTGAATATAGGGAAGGCTCACTTTGAATGCCCAAGAGACAGAAAGCTTCCCATGCCTTACAAATGGTGTCCAAGAGCAAAGTTTGATGCAGTTTTTTTCCTGGAATTGAAATCGTTGTGACTGTTCAAGCGCTCCTAGGATGCATCCCAGGCATGGGCAAACTTTGGCCCTCCAGGTGTTTTGAATTTCAATTCCCAAAAACCCTAGCCAGTTTACTGGCTGTTAGGAACTGTGGGGGTTGAAGTCCAAAACACCTGGAGGGCAGAAGTTTGCCCAAGCCTTCTCTACACTATAAAAAGAATGCAGTTTGACCCCACTTGAACTGCCAAATCTCAATGCCATGGAATCCTGGGAGTTGTCGTTTGGAGGCACCAAAACTCTTGGGCAGCGAAGGCTAGAGACCTGGTAAAAACATTCCAGAGCGTTGAGCCATAGCACTTCAAGTGGGGTCAAACAGCATTCATTCTACAGTATAGATCAAGCATGGGCAAACTCTGGCCCTCCAGGTGTTTTGGACTTCAACTCCCACAATTACTAACAACCTACTGGCTGTTAGGAATTGTGGGAGTAGAAGTCCAAAACACTTGGAGGACTGAAGTTTCCCCATGCATGGTATGGATGAACCCCCCCCCCCCCACCACTCTTGCAGAGCTTAATTCAAGAAATACACCTGGTTTTCTTAAGATTCTGGAAGAGCTGGAAGGACGGCAACGAAGCTGACAAGAGAACTGTGAAAGTACTCAACCTACTCTTTCCTCTCGTTTGTGAGACTTGGAGAGCAGTTTTATGGCAAAGTAGCTGCAAAGAAGCACCCAGCTTTCCCTCTGTCGCTCACCCACACCACTTGATCCTGCAGCTTCCATTCATACCTAATGGCTGAACTGCTGCCTCCATTCTCCGG